CCCACTTGCATCCAAACCTTGAACACAGAAATGTTTACTAAATTTCGTTCTCACAACTTTTAATTGTACTGCAATATTTTAAATAATGCTTTATTCTTTTCGTATTTTTAGAAAATCAAGTAAAATCTAAAATAAATTTTGATTTAGATAGACTGATGAAAAAAGAACAGATCTGTAGGAAAATACGTCCCCAGTCATTAGACAGACTTAATTATGTATAATACGTACGTAATTTGAAAAATCTGAGACAGATTGTGTCGTTCCGTTCTATCAACAAGAACGCTATTCGTGACTGATAGAAAAATAAAGGCAACAGTTGTATAGGTTGCAGTCTTGTAATTGGCTGTTCCTTAGGGTTACATGCAAAACAGCTGATTTTTTAAATTATTTTACAATAAAATGCTACATAGACATTTTTTTCATGTACATATCATGTATGTAGTAATGTGAAATTGTGATTTAATGGAAAACAAAGTGGGTCATGCCACGAAGATTAAAAAGATATGAAACCCTGATGTCAAAACTACTTTTTTCTACTTTCTGTTTGCGGTTTTACTAGACCGCACCACTTCCAGTAAACATGGTATCCTTCCACTTTCCTGGTTTGATATCCCCAAAACGATGCAATATTTTTTAATCTAAATAGATGTTTCAATTCAGCATTAACTTTTAATCAAACAGAAAAAAATTGAGTCCAGAAAAAAATTCAGAAAAAAATGGACTTTTTTATTTCACTCTATGTTTTGACATGCACCGGAAACTGGAGTTGTAATACAAGACTGGTACCTATACCGCTGTTCAAAAGTCATAAATCGATTAAGAGAAAACAAATCCGGGTTACAAACTAAAACCGAGGGAAACACATCAACTATAAGAGGAAAACAACGGAACAACAAAAACACTGAAAAAACACATGAACTGCAACAAAAACAAACGCCAACATACATAGAAACGGACTATTTGATAACAACTGCCATATTCCTGATTTGGTACAGGACATTTTAAGAAACAATGGTGGATTGAACCTGGTTTTATGGCTAGCCAAACCTCCCGCTTATATGGCAACGTTAAAAAATATCGCTAAAATGCACAGAGAAATGCTTAAATAAATAATATAATAGTACATTACAACATGTAAACCGCAGAATAACATCTCCCATTAACGACAGCACAGGACACCACAAACTGCGCGTCACATGAATGGATCAACGCCACAAAAAGTGACGTATTTTTGTGGAGTATATATAATCTTGACATTCATACAATTATATGGAACGAGATCCAAAAATTCACAATTAATACTGGTCCAAATGATTATAATGATTATGACGGTCTTGAAAGGCTATTTTAAAGAGGGACGAAAGATACCAGAGGGACAGTCAAACTCATAGATCGAAAAACAAACTGACAACGCCATGGCCAAAAGTAAAAAGACAAACAGACAAATAATAGTACAGATGACACAACATAGAAAACTAAAGACTAAGCAACACGAACTCCACCAAAAACTGGGGGTGATCTCAGGTGCTCCGGAAGGGTAAGCAGATCCTGCTCCACATGTGGCACCCGTCGTGTTGCTAATGTTATTACAAATCCGGTAAATAGTCTAATTCGGTAGGTCACATTCGTGAAAAGGGAAGGGTATTGTAGTTACGAAATAAGGAACATATCCGATATCATCTGTGAAACGGTTATTCCATAACGGTCAACCAACTGGTGATGGCGTCCGTAAAATTTACGTAGGGATGATTTCAACTTCACCATTTGGAACTCTTAGTTTTTAAATTAATGATGTGACGACGTCATAATTATTCTAAATAGAAACCCTTGGATAGTGAGTGAAAAGCTAATTCAATTGGTATGAAGGAATGTATATTGTAAATGTTGAGCATTTAAAATCACCATGCGTATTGGTATAATGTAGTATTCAATTGTTACTTTTATATCAATTTGTATGTCCAGTTACCAGCAGATGATCACTTATTTAAACAATTAGATAAAGACGACATATAGATTCGAAAGCAGGATTACAATGTACTCGATTCAACAGGAAGCAAGGTGAGGTAGCTACATTCTTTTACTAAAATACTCGTCAGATTTGGTTCAATACAACAGAAAACAAAAATCAGGTTCAACACTACTAACACTTTTCATGCAACGTCATTGGAATACTGTCATTGTTAATCAGGTAATCAATATTGAATAATTGGTTTCAATAAGTACCACGATGATCATTTTAAAATTTTAAAAAGAGACAGAAAAGATACCCCCCCCCCCCCCCCCCCCCCCAAAAAAAAAAAATAAAAAGATACCAGGCATATAAACAGAAACGGTCTTTTTGATCTGAACAGCTCTTAAAAGACTGGTCAGAAAATTTGCTTTCGGTCAATTATGTTCTGATCAATCTATTTTCAGATTTTAAGTAGCTTTTATTTACCTGTATGAAATAATAACATGCTGGAATGTCTGAAAAGTTTCTGAATAAAACTGGATGGACTGGAGGTTAAGGTCTGAACAGTACTGGATTTATAACATATGATTTTTTCAAATGATGTAAAGATCAGAGTGACCGTTTAAAACTAAAACTCATTTACTAGTGGAGGCAAATACATTGATATTTCTTTTTTATCGCTTTAGATTGAGTATAATGTTGAAAACTTTTAAATGATTGTCTGCTTCTACAGAAAGAATGTAGACGATTGCTCTGAAGTGACATCATGAATATATACAGATTTTCTTGATTTGCTACACTCCTATTTTCTTCTTTTCGCCTTTTTTGTTTTATACTTGCTCCTATGTTATCACCTACATTTACACAAACATATTAGATTTATTTTAAAGAAAGATACTTATACATATCGAATCGTTCGTTTATTTTCAATTATAACCTTAAAATATTCGATAGTTAGATTACATCCAGTTGAGTCAGACTGGTTCTAGACAAGAGACTGAATACAAAGGTTCATTAAATCATTAAAATTGTAAATGTTGTAATAAGGAAAACATTTCAAAATCCATTGTAAAAGTCATTGCAAAGTCGAAACTATTTCATTTCTCAGGCATGGCAATGTCACTTACAAGTGTATTTCGCGAAGACCACAGGAAGTAACACTGGATTCGAAGGCTAGATTATTATCGCATTTTCACAAATATAAAATGTGTAGTTAATTAAACAAAGGTGTAATTAGTGCTATTTTATATTTAACTGTTAACAAAACGTAGCATTTTTGGAAATACAAAGGATTTTCTACTCCAGAAGTAGATAACTTATCTGTATTTAGCAAAAGCTTTCGGAATTTGAGGTCCTCAATGCTCTTGAACTTCGTACTTTATTTGGCCTTTTTAACTTATTTAAGTCGAGCGTCACTGGTGAATCTTTTGTAGACGAAACGCGTGTCTGGCGTTAACATGTTTAATCCTGGTATCTATGATGAGTTTATTGTCACGATTCAGTATGGAACATTTACCGTCCTGATATTTTGACTGACTGCAATTAACCGAAATCTACAGATTCGAATCGTTGAAGATAGATTAATCAGTCGGAATTTCCATCAAAAGAAAACTGATTTTGCAAAGACGATTAGAAAAAGAACTGGAAATTAATGATATGATTTGCATAAAAGGATTACTACAACTAATGGATAATCTACTCTAAGCATGATATAAACATGTCGTGATATGGTAGATAACAGATTTCCTTTTGTACTCGCAAATCACATTAGAATTTTATGGCAGTAAAGGTTTTACGTAAGTGGAGATAGTACGTAGCTTTAGATGATACGTACATTGTTTTTTCTTCTTCTGAGACAATCAATATAAAGAAATATTTTCAATGTAATAAAGATGTTCCTATATTTTAGCCTTGTTGACATATGTTATTGGGATGCGGCAATCAATATCTGTTTTAGCTTTGAGAAAATTGTAAATAAAAGACCATTTTATAATGGTACAATTATGAACTAGATCTTTCATTTTATCTTTAATTAAAATCTGATAAAATGGCCCATTAATGAACAATGGTGTATTTTTTTCATTTATTTACAATGAATACTATAGTATGAGCTACTTTAGTAACACAATACAAGTACTGTTTGTTTTGGAGACCGCGTGTCTACAGCGTAAAAGGAAGCTATTAAACCAAGAGTTTAAAGCGGTGAATTTGAAATTCCCCCTATCGAAAATTTACGGACGCCATCACGAGTTGGTTGAACATTATGAACGTTTATTCAGTGAGCAATTCTTTAAACCGACATGGTTCGAAGAACAATTCAGGGTATATATATTTTGGTTTGCTAACGATAGGGAAAGTTCAGACTCTATCTCAATCTGATCTTAGCAACAAATCACTTTACTGCAACCTTGATTTAATGATTCAAACCAGAAAAACAGCCATTGGTATTTCTTTGTTATACAAGATCCTAAGTATTTCTCCTTTTCATCTCCCATTTAAAGTGCTGTTTCTCCTATATTAAACATTTGTATAATATGTCTTTTTTTCAATTTGAAAAGGAAGCTCTTTGTATTCTTAATATTTCGTTCATATTGGGATTTGTGTATTTTTTGTCTATAATATTAATCCTTTCCGTGTACCAATTATTTAGACATTACACTCATTATATCATATCAGGTTCAGGTACCTTTAATACTTAAATAGTAGTCACCACAAATCACGAATCGAAATTAATAAAATCAAAGAAATCAAGAATGAAAATCTTCAAAAAAAAAAACGAAATTGTGAGGGATTACATTTTAACTATTGCTGTTTTATGAAATGGGAATACTTTTATTTGTTTCAAAAATAATAATGCTGTTGCAGTCTTCAACCTTTTCAAAGAAAATAAGAATATATATTTTTTTATTTATGCAAATATCAGAGAGCTAACAAAATGTCTTTTTTTGATAATTAAAAGCTTCAACTGATATTTAAATGTCTCCTAGCATGTTGTCACGTGTGATTTGTATTGTTTCCATGCCGATCGATTCCACCTTATTTACATGTTATAACATCCATTGATCTTGTTCCCTGCTTCAGATTGTTGATACCAGCAATAAGGTTAATTTGTTATTATAACAGTCGTATGAACAGCGGTGGAAGAAAAAAGTAACAAATTGAAAGTTAAAAGAATACAAGGCGTAGAATATTTTTGGAGAAGCTAATATATGTTTGCAAGTTTCAGTTGGACCAGTAGATGAAATGTAAGTATATATGTTTGTATATGTTTGTAAATCTTTATTGTTTGTTTTTTTATTTTCTTATTTATTTGACAATTCTTTGTCGTAAACATTTTATTGTATAAATGTTTTATTGATCAACGAAATTTCTTTTTTGTAATGGTCATATATGATGTTGTTATCAACAGATATAGTAAGCACGGGGGAAATTAGAATGTTTGAAAAAGAATCAACTTGATTGTCTTTTACTATCTCATTGCATTTCTTTTGAATAAAAATGTTTATCTTTTTTTCTGAAAGAGCAATTCAGTATATATCAATGACGTGTACTCATATCGTTAATATGTTGAAATGCTTTGAATTAACAACTGACAACTCTCAATGTCGATTTCATAAAGTTGTTAAAACATAGTAGAATTTAAGTATTAAAGAGTGAATATTAAACATAAAGAGTTTCCCCACAACCATTTTTGTTAAAAGTATTCATAAAAATCATTTTCTAGTATATTGTTCAGACATAACTATTATTGAACACAAATTATAAAAAATGTTTTACATCTTTTTGGATTAATAGAAACTGAAACCAAAGTGACTTCTATTGAAAGATCCTTCATAGGTATATTTAGAAAGTATTTTGATTTTAGTATTGGAATATTTTTCCATTGATTTTTGACGTAAATACTCAAAGTGTCAAAATCTGTCAATGTGCCGAATAAGATAAAATTGAGAATGGAAATCGGGAATGTGTCAAAGAGACAACAACCCGACCATAGAGCAGACAACAGCCGAAGGCCACCAATGGGTCTTCAATGCAGCGAGAAACTCCCGCACCCGGAGGCGTCCTTCAGCTGGCCTCTAAACAAATATGTATACTAGTTCAGTGATAATGGACGTCATACTTAACTCCAAATTATACACAAGAAACTAAAATTAAAAATGATACAAGACTAACAAAGGCCAGAGGCTCCTGACTTGGGACAGGCGCAAAAATGCGGCGGGGTTAAACATGTTTTATGAGATCTCAACCCCCCCCCCCCCCCCTAATACCTCTAGCCAATGTAGAAAAAACAAAGAGTATACGAACGCTGTCACATTATTTCAGTCTTTTTGTTTCAGTAGCTATATAGTTGTCCATAAGTTCTATTGTTAAAATTTTCTTAATAACTTAATTAAAAGGAGCTCATGCATTGAGGGTAACAGCGACTGATTTGGTGTTATATTCATAATTGGAAACAACATATATGAATAAATATAAAATTAAGGAGATATGATGGTATGATTGCCAATGAGAGAACTATCAAGCAGAGTTCAAATGAAGTGGGTATAAGTAAGTATAAACCACTGTATAGTCGGCTATAAAAGATCCCGACATGAAAAATGTGAAACAATTGAAACGAGAAAACTAACGGCCTTATTTATAACACAGCAATTTTTTAGTCTTTCATTTGTATTTCATTGAATGCAACTTCTAAGGAAAGTTGAGTGGCTGTAGTGTTCATAATCTGTACTTCCCTCTATATCGGTGGGATTGTAATATATAATCACTATAAAAACATAATGGGCAACTTTTTTATTTATTGCCTAAAAATTTGAAGAAAAAAATGTCAGAATTCGTATAACATTTAGAAAAATATAGAATATAATTCAGCTACAACCTATGAAAGTGGATTTTTAATTATTTATTTTGAAAGATTTGTCTATTATTTTAAGGTCTCTTTTGGTAATATAGCTCCTATAGTTTCCACGTATTTGTACACCACTGCCTTTCTAATGTTTAGATTTAAGCATTCCTGGTGAAGATAAATCCTGAAAAGCTCTTCGAACGCACGACATTGGTAAAGTGTAATTTTCATTATATGGAACTCAAACTGACTGTAATCGACGTTATTTGAGGCTCTTTAATAACATTACGTGAACATGTCGACATATCAAAAGTAATCAATTTTAATAAAGTGGTAACATGGTCAATATAAAACTAGTGTCAGGATTTGAAACAAAGGTTTTGCTCTGACAAATAGAAACTAAACAGACGACAATTATTTAAACTTATTACTCAGTATTATTTGCTTACAATTAGGGGAGACGGATTAAACGTCACAATAAGTTGTCACTTCAGTACCATATTAATCTATAATGCAGTTATACTGGTTTTTCCAACAGAGTATTGCTTCACCTTCAGTATTGATTTTCTATATTTATAATTAATAAGTGCTGTTACATTTCATAGGATAATATGATAGCTGAACTTTTATATACCAATATATGTATAATATAAACTGGTGTTTCCATTGATGTCTCAATCGGTCTCATTTTTTCTAATTGTTGAAGGCCGTGCAGTTGCCTATAATTTCTTACATCCACTTCATTTGAACTTGGGTGGATAGTTATCTCATTGGCAATCATACCACATCTCCTTATTTTTATATCAACAGATTTAGTTTGAATCCCGGTGAAGGAAAGATAAATTGCATGTTCAAAAAATACTGTACTTACATTTTAACGCTAGATTCAAGAGTAATATATATATAGATTTTTTCATAATATAATCACAATGTCATTGAAGAATACATGAACCATTAGTTATACATATAGAGATAACTCTGTTATAAAATTTCAACGGAAAGATAAATCCAGGTTTCACTCTCTATCTAGTAACAAGCTATCTACGATTATAAAGTTCGCCTTTTCCTCCAAAAGAATTGTTAACCATGCAGTTTATAGAGTTCGTAAATTAAAAAAACAGACAATCTATATATAAACTCCTTGTTTCTTTGAACAAATTCATTCCTAAGGGTTTAAATTGAACTTTGAGCGAAGATCTCTAAATATTGTCTTAAACGGTACTAACATTGATTTTTTTTAATTTTTAATAATTTGATACATAACTGAACCATTCATTGACATCCAGGTATTAACATTTCCAGCCCTACATCATTTTGATACTCATATTACAGAATAACAACATGTCATACTTTTCCCCTGACAGCTAATTGCCTATTTTCACTAAATCCGTCGGAGGTGTACTGTTTAAAATTTTAGTCTCGAAGAACATGGTTGATTCATAACCGTATAGTCATTATAAAAGGCCCGATATGACAAAATGCGAAACAATTCAAATGAAAAAATTAATGTCCTCATGTATGACCAAAAAAAAGAGAATAATGAATATAACAGACAGCAACCAACGACAACCACTGATTTACAGGAATCTGACTTGGGACAGGTATATAAAGTCGGCTTTGAACTGGTGTTAAAAAGTCAGTACTCTTAGATCAGTACTGTGTGTCTTTTGTCTTTTTAAAATTTGTTCTTGTTAGTACAGAAATGACGAGTCAAGCCCTTTCCAATTCGCTTTTACGGTTTGTTCATATGTCGTGTTGTCACACCACTATCTCAGGTTAGGAGAGAGTTGAACGCTTATATACCTATTCAACTATGCCATATTTTTCATGACAATGAGACTAATCATTCGATTTATACTTGCATGAGCAACGCGACTGGAGCACATATGAAGCAGGAACTGCTTACCGTTCAGGAGAACCCTGTCCCCCTCAACCGGGTTTTGAGTGGGTTTGTTTTGCTCAATATTTTCTATGTAGTGTATTGTGAAATTTTTGTCGTTTTTCGTTTCGTGCGTTTTAATCTTTCCTACGAATTATTAGTTTTGAATGTCCCCTTGGTATCCTCCGCCTATTTTTATTTGCATGTCCCAAGGTAAAACTTGTTATGTCACTTGGTGGTTGTTATTTGCTCTCTGCCATAATTTAATTGTTCATTGTTAAAGTATTATTCAGGTTGTTTTCACTTTGTATTTGTTTACAATTTGTCACATCGGAGTCTTTTACAGCTTAATGTACGGGATGGGTTTTGCCCATTGTTGAAGGTCGTACAGTGATCTGCAAATTTTCACATTTCGTCCCTTGGTCTTTATTAATAGTTGTCTCATTGGCAATCATATCTGGTTGATAAACCAAAATGGTCATCGAAGTTGATGGAATTTAATTTCAGTGAGAAAAGACCAAAATAGAGTCACTAAGTATCTTACAAATAAACTTAATGGTTTATATTAATGCAACTTAATGAATCATAACACATAGGTAAGACTGGAATAATTTTCGTGAGGGATAGTATTTCTCTCTGGAATGTTTTGTTTATATTTATATGATTATAGATCGCTTAATATCTGAAAAAAAATTAATCGTAAAACTAAATTGAAATTGTTGACACAAAAACATAAATAGGAGTGACCTGATTTTTTTTTTGGAGGAGCCTGATCTACAGCAATTACAGCATGATATATGTGAATAGCTCATGTAGCATCTTTAAACTGAAATTCAACCTACAAAATTATGAAGTTATCAAACTTTCTTAAAATAAGTAGGTGAAAACGTGCACGCGGACGATGACGTAAAATAGAAAGTGCTCAAATAGTCCATCTTAGATTGAAATTGAAATGTGAAGTCACATTCTACCAATTGTCAATGTCAAGAATGGCCACACTCCAACCAACTTAAACTCATTGTATCGTTTGAGGTATTGACAAATGTACCTTCGATAGGATTTTTTATTTAAAAAATTAAATTAATGAGGATTAAGAATTTCTTTTGACTATCAATTCTATCATTAGAAGGAAAATAGGACTTCTGTAAATGACCTTATAACAGTTTTAGGGAATGTTTTGTTCAAAAAAAGAAAAAGTGATTTCTCATTCTTTCCCAATGTCATTCGATGGAGATATTGTGGCATCACTGCCACCATGTTTGCGACCCGATCGACACCAATATAAATCGGAGCTAAGAGTTTCTGAATCATCGTTCATGAGAAAAATTAGGAACGATATACACTTTTAATTTCAGAGGAAAAGAAAAGAAAAAAAGACCAGTCATGATCAAGAATTATTCCAGGCAACAATGTTTTTTTTATTTAATCTAACTGAAGAAATTTCATAGATTTTCTGCTTAGTCTGCTTTAGTAAGCCTGGTAGCATGGCGGGTGATTCATGCATATCAGGAGACGCTTATTTA